TTGTTGTTGTTGTTGTTGTTGTTGTTGTTGTTGTTGTTGTTGTTGTTTTTGTTTTTTGTTTTTTCCTTCTCCCTGGTCTGAAGGCGAGTCATCGTTGAGGCGTGGTGTTCTGGCCTGGCCGGTGTCGGTGTTCTAAGGCAAAGGCATTGGTGCCAGCACCATCACTTGCAGCATCCTCTTGCTCCTGGGCGAACACCATGCTCTTGCTCCGGATGAGACCGTCCCTGCGGACCAAAACGCATGGGTGACAGGGTCATCAACGGGCCACTGAAAGGAAGCTATAGCGAGGTTTCACTGGAGTCACCTGCGATTCCCCTCATTGGCTCCAACATGAGCACCAGCTAAAGGCACCCACCCGGCGACAGCTGCTGGATTTGCGGAGAGATTTGATGGTTTGATGCTCCGGACAGTCCGTTCGCCTATACCGGCATGACATGTCTTGAGGGGTCTCTGACTCTCAGGTGCCTCCCACCATCTCAGGTGCCTCTCACCATCTTTAGAGACACTTTTTGATGAAATGGCCGGGCCTAACCTAAGCCATCCAGTGTTCCAGAACGACCTGAGCCGATTTCTTGGGCATGTGAGTGCAAGCAGGCCATGACTCCGAGCCATGGGATAACATCCCGATATATTCGATGACTCCAGGCTATTGGAATGGTTTTTTGATGGTTTTTGGTGGGTTACAAGGAACATGCGTCTGGAACAGCTTTAGAATCTCTTTAGGGTTCCCTGGCTGTTTCCCGAGATCAACCTGCAGAGAGAGAGGAATCCACCGATTCTATCGTCTCTGCGTGGGGAACTCCTAGTTGCACCTAGGAAGAGCATTGTGGGGCGAGCACATGGGCAAGATCTCCCAAAGGTCCTCGCGCTCATGCAGGACGATGGACATGGGATGATGCTCATGGAGGGCAGTGCGTACATGGGAATCCAAAGGAAGGTCTTTAAGGTTGTGCTCTGGTGGCTAGGATCGACTAGAACTCATAGATAAATCTCAAATCTTGATGTATCCCAAGATCTAAGTCCAAGATGTTGAACGACGGGCAGTTTGGGCGCACATGGTGCTGATTGAGGATTTTTTTCCGAGGGATCCACATACACATACCTTCTCAGAAGGTACTTGGACCCTCCAAACTTACCCACATAAAAGTTATTAAATGTGTCTCCAATCACCTTCTCAGAGGATATGTGGATCCATAGGGTTTGTTCATCAGCATGCTTATATATAGAGTGCGCGTCCTGAGAGATGTTTCCAACATTGGAAATCGACTGGGTCCCGACCCTTTCAGCTGGTCTCGGACATGGCGTCCACGCCTTGGGGCTCTCAGCCAGATAGCTGTGGATCAAAAGCTCGCCCCTTAAAACCATTGGATGTGTCTCTTGAGGACGGCCTTGTTCATGTTTGGTGGTCAAGTGGTCACGTCCGGGGTCGGTTTTGACATGACAATCTCCTTCACATTGCAATCTCTTCCAAGAAGCACGCCAATCAGGACTCCCCAAGTGAGCTCATTAGTCAGGACTCTGGGCTGCCCAGTAGTCAAGCCCCCCCGGTAGATTTTGTGTTTTCCGCTTAGGAGCTGAGTGTTTCACTCAGCCAAGAGTTTTGAAAAGAGGTTTGACAGAGTCTGACTGTTTGGCCCTCCAATCTTCACACCCTCGTGGACAGATGTTGTGCCACCCTGCCCTGTCTCAGGGCGGTGGATGGGACGATTTCTGGGAAGGTGTGTTCTACTCTCGTCTCGTCTGACCCACCGGCAGGAGTCTCAGGTCCATATGGATGAGGCAGGTGGCTACGGGGCCGGGTACGTCCGCGAATCGTTGGCCGTTCGGCGGTTTCTGCCACATGCTCTCTCAGACATTTCAGACTCTAACCCATGCAGCAACATTGTTTTATATCGCATTCACTTACATAAGCACCACCGGCCTTCCTTGTGTTTGGACCCTGGAAACAATATAAGCTGATTTCTACCAAGATATATCCAAAGTTCATTCGGTCCCTTTGCTTTTTCAGGAGCACTGCCCAGGTCAACCCAGGCATCCTCAGGGTTTTGTTGCGCTACTTCGACTCGAAGTGTCCCTTATGTGGATATGTTGGATGCCCCGATCGTTGGATCCCGCTGCCTTTTTCGGAGCTCATGTCCAACCTCCTCTTCAGCGGTGCGTTCATCCCCACTCCACGGAGGCCCTCTTCGGCGGCTTCGCGGATGCGTGCGCGCGCGCGAACCAGCTGGAGCTGCTGTGGTCGGTCTTCCAGGCGGTCACGTTCGTCGGTCCGACGTGGCACACGTTCGTGGAGGAAGACGGCGCGTTCGTCGGACGACAACAGGAATCGATGTTTTTGTTGGTTTGATGAACCAAGCCTGATATGAAAGCTTTTGGAGTGACTTGTTTGACCATGGAGGTGATCTCTAGAGGTAGGGAACTGAGCAGTCCTGCCAAGCTGCCAGGAACTTGTGAAGAAAGAGACGCCCTTGCAGGCCGACCGGCAAGGGGCGGCAAGCAGCATGCATTCTTTTGCTCTGACCAAGCTGCGAGTGATCAACCAGCACCACGGAGAGACAGGGTGGTGTATGCGGCACCCCGCCTGTCCATGTTATGTTCCTTCCAATGATGACCACCCAACATGGGTGCTGGGAGGAATTTCTTTTTGCGTTCTTTTCACAGACCGAGGTCAAGTGGAATGTGTTTCTGTGTGTATTGTTTCTTGTGGTGTTTTCTGACAGATGGATCGGGTCCGCACTCGGTTTTGTGAACCAAACTCCCTCGGATCGGGCCAGCAGACGTTGATGGACCACACACCTTATGCAGATCACTCTGACTTTGAAGACTTATATAGTTGGCAGGTTGCTTCATTGAAGCCCGAAATGACATGGGAGAGACTTGTTCCCAATCTTTCAGATTGGGAACACCATGTACATGATATTCTCCAATGATACAACTGAACATGGTGCTTTTGATATCCCAATTATTGAAGCAGTTCCTATATAAACATAGAAGAGCAGAGTGCTCTTGACGTTCAGCTGGGCCAGGTAGCCCCCCCCAAACAGGGGCCGGGGTATCGGTATAGTGCCCAAATCCGGTGTAGAACCTTAAGCAGGTTGACCGTGATTGGTCCAGCCATCCTTGGACACCGGCCTGACCGGTGTTTTGGACGGTCAGATCAGCGGCCCGACCTACGGGAGCATGATGAAAGCCTTTGGCCAAGCACAAGAGGTCCGGAAGGCGCGGTTTCCGTGTAGACGAAGCGGGGCGGTGGAGGTGAGGTTCACTTGGTCGGGACCTTTGGTGGTTGTGGAGTTGTTGTTGGATCCAAAGTTGGTTGGAGGGTGTGCAGGAGATGTTTGTGTGTCCAATTCTTACCCATCACTGACTATTCGATACTATTCGCGAAAGGAAACAATTCTTCCTGGTACATCGAGCATCCACATTGATCCCCTTGGCCACACTTGTGGGAAGGTAAATTTTCCAAGTCTAGGCTTTTGATGTTCAGAACCATTGGTTGTGTGCTGGTTACAGTGGTGATTAGTGAGATTTGTAGATCAAAGGTGTAAGATCAAAACATCATGTTCAGTCCCCCCCAAAAAGACCGGTCACAGAGAAAAAAGCAACATTTAAACGTTCAATCTTGAACACTTGCAAGGCATTCACATCGACCAAACCATTTCCTTTAAGGACATGATAGATATTTCATGATATTTCTCAGTCACTCCGTGCTTCCACACCCAACCCATGCTGTTCGCACGTTCGCTTTTGGACACTCTGCTGCGTCCTTCAGGTGAAGGAGTTGTGGACACAGATGGGCACTCAGAAGGTCAAGTTGACGGCGGTCACCTTGGGCTGCATGGTGGAGGCCGGAGATCGATCGGGTGACCCGATGTGTGTGCCCGTCATACGTTGGATCTGAGAGAAATGGAGCCAGACATTAGGGACAGTGAACCTGGTTTGGACTCTGCCTGGGGTAAAGGAGAGGTTCAGGTTACAATCTTTTGAGCCAACTGAGACTTTGAGAGCAACCTTTTGTTTGAGTGGGTATGGGACATGCAAACATGTCCGCACCAAAATGACACGTGAACAGTTGGTTTTGTAGAGACCACATATCTGAGAGGTTTAGTCAATGGCTTATGGGAGGTCAAAACCTCCAACCACACGGTGCTCATATTTGTTTGGGCGTGGTCCGCTCCGTTGAGATGAAACCGGGGTCCACGCCTTGAAACCGAACTGCGAGGCCTTGGTGAGCAACAACCATGTCTCCGATGCTTGGAAGATCGTTGTGGTGCCCAGTGCACCGCGTGGTCGCAGCGTGCGCGGCAAAGCGCCGGCGAGTCGCGTCCAGCGCCCAAAGTAGCATGGTTGGTCCAACGAAGGTGTTCGCGTAGGCGTCCAACACAACACAAAATTAAACGAACAGTTCACAACATGTCCAAACCCAAGGCATTAAAGGATCTGCCGTGTGCCGTGTGCCTCGCAAAAGAAAACAACACCAAGGAGACGGTCTCAGGACCCAGTTTTCAAGGTCACTTGGAGGTATTTCATTTGTCCTTGGCCACAGACACGTCAAGCATTGAGAATCATGCACAAGGCCATGCAGAAGCACCAATTAATTAAGGGGATCAAAGGACATTAGACATTTAGACAGTACATTTTACATCATTTGACATATTTTAGAACCAGGGAGCTTTTAACAGTACATAACAGTACAGTATGTATTTTATATCGGTTGACCCGGCCTTGCCTGCCAAGAAACACTAGTTTTGCAGCCACGTACATGCTTGACCAAGTCACCATTTCTACAAGTACTTCCCAAGGATCTCTCTCATTTCACTCTTGTCGTGTTGATTCTAGTGGCCTGTCAGCTGCTCAACTTTACCTGTAACTCTTTTATTGAGAAAGTTTCCTGTCTTTCACATGTTCGAGCCTGCTTCTAATCAATGCCTAGTGATGCATTCTTCGACGGTTTTTCTGGGGAGAATAGGGTTGATCTGTTTTCGGGTCGAACTGCTGGGCTTCGATATAGTCATTGGATCCGTGAAGGGCTTCTTTGTCCTTGCAAATGTTTGACTTCTAAGTCATGTGTGTTTGTCATGTTAAGACTCAAGAATAAGTCACTGTACGTCAAACTATAATTTCATGTGTCCACTTCTAAGTCACGTGACACATGTTGAGACTTGTGCTGCTCGCTATTGTGGCCGTTCGACCAAATCCGCCGGGGGGGGATGTCCGACAGCGCACTGACACACGCGAAAAGCGCGCGGGTGTGATGTGAGGTCAATGAGACCTGGGCCAAAGAGGAGAATCAAGCCTGGAGCCCCATGAGGGAGTTTCTATTTTGCTGCAATCACAGACTGACACTTTGTGCAGCATCAAACACTAGGTTTCATATGCGGAAACCAGTCCTTCATGGATGTTACAACATGTCCATGATAGCCGGAGAATAGTCAACAGTGTTTTCCCTTAGAAACTAGGGTCTGACATACCACTGATCAAACTGGACCTCCAGTTTGGTATAGGTGTCAAACGGGCTCGATGCGTTCCCAGAAGCGTCCCCAGAGTTTCTCCGTGGGTTTCCCCTCTGGCTGTGGGTCAAAGACTGGAGCTGCAATATGTGACCATGTTTGCAAATATGGAGTGGAAGCCACTGCAGAAACCAGTTCAATAGTTGAATCTCAGTTGAACACACTTCAGTTCCCAGATGGTCTCAGCATCCGTTGGTGGTTTGCTTGAGGACTTGGTGAACACTGTGATCTACTCCACCATTGTCAAAGGCTTCACCATGTCTCGGCAACATGACCAGGCCACGCGCGTCGTGCTTTGTGTTTCTTGCCCGGAAGAATCCATGAAACAGAATCAACATGAATCAACCTGAATAAGTCTATGAGAAGAATCCATAGCCATAGATGAATTCTATGATGAATTCCGGAAGAATCAACCAATTACTATGAGATGTGCCGTTTTCCAGAGCATTCCACTATGAGTTGAGATGAATTGGTCTAAAGAAACGGAAGTCGCTTCAGGTCGGTGGGTGAAACCCGGATGCGCCGTCGACCGATTCGGGCTTCGGGGCGGTTGGTGGAGACATGCCGTTTCGCGGGCATCGCGGGCATCGGGTGGGGCGTTGCTAAAGGGGGTTTATGGGTTTGTGTCATTTTTGCTCAGCTGCATTCAGATTGAGAATTTCTTGTCCCTTTGGCGGATGTGAATGGCCGCTTGTGTGAATGCTGCCACCAAGTGACCATTTTCAGTTTTAGGCAAGGTGCATGCCGGATTCTTATGGATTCGTTATGTCAAATGAAGGTCTTTTCTTGTTATTCTGATGGTTTCGCGATGTGTTGTGGTATACACTTATACCAGCTTTTGTCACCACCTGTGACGCAGATGCAATTCCTGTGACGTTCTCTTTTGTTGCGTCATCCGCACAACGTGCTGTGTTTTGTATGTGTTCATCCAGGTAGTCGCAATCTACAAGGAGATGAAGGACGGGAAATTGTACAAAACAGACTGACAGCTCTGTCCTCTGTCCCTCTCGACCCAATAGCATACAGGATGCGGGACCCTGATGCATATTGCATTGAGCTATATATGTGATTACTTGGTACTTTACTTTGCATATCGTATAATTACTTTCCTGATCAGTTCATATACTAGTTCCCAAGTGGATGCTCAAAACACCCGGGGTGCAAACCACTTCAAGCAACTGATCATGCAGACATTTCTATTTTAAGCACCTAGATTCATCGGCAATCTCCTTCACGGAGAGCAGTGGCATTCTCACGTGTTGAAAACCTTCGGACAAGACCGGAAATGGTGATGGATTTTTGTTTATATGTTCAAGACTGGAAAGCAGCACCAAAGTTTGAAAAGGGACATCCAAGTCTTCTAGGAGTCAATTTGTTTGGCCAGGTGTCAACTTTGTTCCCGACCTAGATGCCCGCAGTACAAAAGCCTACAACCATATGTATCTAGTCCTTGCATGTTTGGTACAAGTCCCAAAAAGGTACTAAAGGCATGCCATCAAGGAATGCCATTCTTTCCTTGGGTCCTTCTTGTGCCAGGATAGGGGCATTCCATGCAACACCATCACTTACAACACCATGTTGAATGCCCTGGCCCGTTCGGTTGCCCAGAAGTCCGACGCAGTCGACGCATCCGACTCGTCATCCAGTCGGCTCCACTTCGTCACCAGGAGCCCCGAACGTAGCGTCCTTGTTACTAGTAGCGATGCCCGAAATGCTCCGTTCGTAGCTTCTTGTTCCGTTCGTAGTAAGGCCAGGGTCGCCCCGTTCGTAGCGGCAGTCCTAATGCTCACGGGTCGCCAGTCTGCCTTGAGGGCCGCTGAAGGGCAATGATGGAAGGAGACCTTGTTGGCTTCTTCCAACATGTTTGGACCTTGGGCTCCACGGCCCAACATCTTGGTTATTTTGGGACTTCTTTGAGAAGGAGAGAAAAACTAATTATTCTTTTTTGAGTGATTGTTTGAGAAGTTTTGGAATAAACCATGATGACTTCGAAGAAGACCTTTTCTTGAGATGTATTGAGTTCATGTTCTTTCCAGTGTAGGCCTGGAGCAAAAGTACCTGCTTGATTGAGCACTTGGTGTTCATCCTGGTCGAATGGTCAGGAATGGTGTAAGTTTTTCGAACACATGTTGGTTCCTTTCCTTCGTGGTTCCTTTCGTGAGGTTCCTTCGTTTCCCTATGAAGAGCTTTCTAGGACTCTGGTCCTGGACCCTTCAAGGGGTGTCCAATGGACTACCCCACACTACCTATAGGCTTCCATTGAGCACCCCTTGGAGGGTCCTGGGTTAAAGCATGTGAAAGCTAGGATTTTGTGATGTTCATTTCCTTGCGGTAATCGCACAGGGATCCTTGTTGCGCCCGTTCGATGAGGTTGTGGGCGAATGCACGATGTTCCACAGTTGCTCGCCGCTGGGGCCCCTGGGGGACCCAGAGGTGTTGAAAGAAACGTAGGCGTCACTCCAGGAGTGCTGAGAATTGCGAGCTGATCCTTCAAACCCAAAAGATAGAGCTGATCCTATGTTAATGTTGAAGTAGAGTTTTTGTTGACTTACAACATCTTACAACCGGACATATATGTAACATTTACGATTTCAGCAAGATGATCCTTCCGTATGCTTCCAACGAGTTTCGGGTATATTAGACTTCTTCGAGGCACAATGAAAATGTTTCGGGTTTCTGAGCAAGACAGTAAACAGATGGCTCCTTGCAGTTTGTGTTTCGTTTGGAATTTCTGATCATTTCTGATACCTCAAGTTATTGTGCACATTTTGCCAAGCAACCCTTGTTTGGGTGGTAACCTAGGCACTATATGTGGCACTTCTTTGGCCAATGGTTCGTTAGGATTCTGGAGCATCGGGTTACTTCTGGTTTTGCGGGTCGGGCTATTTTCTATTTTCCGAAGTAAAGTTCTCATTTGTGGGTTCTGGAGGATTTGACCTTATAGATTTTTTTAGCACAATATAGCCCAATGACGTTTCTTAGTTTTCCGTTTGAGGGACCTGCATCAGCTCAACATACAACTGTATCTGACAGCCACACACGATCATCCATCCATCAGGACATGCGTGACAGTAATCCTCCAGTGCAGCCTGACATCATCACCTACTCCACATTGGTGAAGGTGCACTGCCGCTTCGGCGTGTGCGCGCCAGCGTGATGAACAGGAAGCAGATGTCAAAACAAGTCGATGGTATATATGGCACAGTAGGATTGACATAGCAAAGCCCTAAGCCCTTGGAATTTCATGCCCGATTTCACCTTGACGAATTACTGCTTCCACACCGAAGACCGGCCTGTCCAACAGACCTTTCGCGTCGGAGAGTGTCCGACTTTCGACGATGTAGTGTTTGTTCATCTTCGGTGGACTGGAAAACAAAATAGACCGCAAATAGATGCAAATAGACCAATTAATAGTGGAAAAAATAACATAGAGCGTTGGGAAAGGGTCCTTAGGCAAAAAATACTTAACAATGAAGATTCAGTGGGATGCACATATTAACGTGTCTATAACCCCCTTTTTTTCCCACATGTTGGGGCATGCCAATGCCCAACCCCCCAATCGCACGCCCGTTCCGTGCGCACCGACCCATTCGGACCGCTCTTCGGACCCGTTGCGTTGGGACCGGTCGGCCGTCAGGGCTGCTGCATCGCTGGAGATGTGGCTTGGGGAGCCCAGCCAACGGCGGTCGGAGCGACGGAGCGGTCGGTGGGTGACGCGGTCAGGTCGGTCCTTCCTGACGCGGTCAGGACGGAAAACCTGACGAAGCTCTAAAGCTCAGTGCGACCCTGAGTCGAGATTTGGGGAGTGTTTCAGAGGTGGGGTGGTCTGAAGTCTGAAGTATTATGAATTGCTTCGCCCTCGATTTGCCTGGACTTATCCTGGTTTGACTGCTTAGCTCGGAGGAGCTCGATCTCCACTGTCAATTCATGTTGATTCCACAAAAGACGAGAATACTGGTTTGTTTGGGCGCTACACACCCAAATTAGGAAGGTCCACCAAATGCCCAGGAAAGCGTTTGTTACTGTAACCTGTTGGGGTTTTGAAAGGTTGTTTCATTGATTTCCACTCTTTTTTCCACAAAACAGGACCGGTCTGTTGGCGGAAAGGTGGGCGTTTCGAACGGTCGTGTGATCGATCCGTTGGCTGAGGATCGTGCCTTCTCGCTTTTGGAGGAGATGAAGAAGATGAGACACGTGAAACCAGACGAGGCCACGAAGGAAGCCCTTTGGGCTGGGACTTGCTACTTCAGTTTCCTTCCTCCAGGCTTTGCTGAGAGTGGGGATGTCCCAGGAAACCTGTAACAATAGAAAGATCGAATTATTATACGTACTATTTATTTTGATCTATTTGGGAGAAAGGCCTGTACTCTAGTCATGATCTACTGCTGCTGGGAATCGGATATACTCAAAGAGTATCCATTGAAGAACAAGCCCGCCAACCTCCATACTTCTGTTTTGTGCGTTCTGCGACACTGGAAGCGACGACTGTCCCATCCCCGCAGTCGTGGCCAGCTCACAGAGAGCAGCACTTATCACAGCTCACTGTGATATGTGACAATCACAGCTGTAGGCTGTAACACTACACTGGAGGAAAATCAAACGCAGCAATACGCATAATTAATCACAAGACTCAACACCCACAATTGTCCGCATCTTCGCATCAATAAAGCTACGCAGCTACTCATTCCTCACAACAGTCCTTTTTCACCCTGCGTTCGATCAGAACAGCGGCCGTTCTTCCGCAGCGGCCGATCGCTGATCGCTCCATCTTCGATCGCGAGCGCCATGTCCTTCCGGGTGGCGGCACAGCTGGCAGCCGCCAAGGAAATCATCGCGGAGCGCATGCCAGCGAAGTCGTGGATGGTGTGGACGTGCGTGCTGCTGGATGCCTGGATGTGCAGATAGATGGGAAGAGGATGGAAGAGGTGTCTTTGCGGTTCTGGTGGCGGCGGCAGGTGAAACATGTTTAACATGCTGAAGGAGGTAGCCAATGTGACTTTAACGACCAATTAGTTGTTTTCCATACAGGCATTGATTCGTAGCCATGTAACCCAAACAAGGGTTACGGGTTACGGCGGTTACCGGGTTCTCTTTGGAACGCTTTTGGTGCCGGGCACGGGCTTGGTGCCGGTGGCCCGGAAGAAGACGAGACCAAGACTCATCAGTTCGGAACCCGGTGACCGCCGTGGAGGTCTGGCCAAGGCAGTACCTGGTGCCCAACCTGAGGACCTGGTGCCCAACTAGGCAACATTGGACCAAACTGCCAAACTAGATGTCAGCAGGTCATCATCGGTTTTTCACATGAGTTTGTTTTGTGATACGGGGGTACTATGTTTGCCATCAGAATCCATCAGATCAAAATTTTTTTTTCCAGTAACTGCCTATAGAGTTTCGCATAGTTTCGCAGATATCAATGATATAAGCTATATGTTAACGCCGCCAATACAGATTGCAAAAGGTATATCAAGGGATTCACAGCGTGTCTACCAAAGTTTGGGGTTTCCGAACACCTCCCTGGACTTGGATACCTTTTTCTCTATCCTCGAAAGCCCAGGAAGTTGGGAGCTTGCCACTATTGGTTCAGCTGCTTGACGAAGCGCCTGCAGTTCTGTTGCAGTATCACATTCCGATGTTTCCGACATCCTCAAGACGGGGGCCCAGAAAGCCTACATATGATGTGGTTGTTCAAGCATTAACATCCCGCTTTGCATCAAAGCTCAACTTGACGGGTATTCAATTCATTCGTTTGATTTTTCACGTGCATGTTTGGCGGGATGTTTATGCCAACTGTGATGACACTTGTGTGAAAAGGATGTGAAAGCGGATGGCTGAAAACTCATTGTCCCACACCTACGTAGCGGTCCAAGTCAAGAGGCTAGCGACAGCGGCCCTAAAGCCGCAGAGTTTGATTTGCGTTTTGGGTGTAGTATCCTGTGCCAATAAAGTTGGTAACCGGTGGGCTTACAGATTCACAACATGATATCGAATCGTCGAATCCTGTAAACCGTAATATATTTGTTGGGAGTCTACTGTGTACCTCATCTGATGGACACATAATATATCATAATATTAGTTATCTATGTTGCATCATATAGGAATCTGTGTGGTTTCAATGCGCTGAGACTTACTGTACGTAGTTTATTGGGGTTAGTCGGGGTTAGTGACTGTCAGTTGACCAGCAGAGACACCTTAGCGTTTGTCACTTTGAGTTGTTGGTAATGGCGAGGTTTGGATATTTCGCCCACGCTGGTATGCTGGTGATTCCATTCCTCTTGCAGGCCTGAGGTGCCAATATATTCTTGCGGCAGTCAAACTTTTCAGCCCACGGATTGAACAAAAGACGTTGAATCTGAAAGATCCTGAACGATTCCAGTGTTTCCAATCTATGTCATCTATGTTCAATGGCTTGCTTCCGTTTCGTCCCTCACTACTTGTAGGAGTCAGTGTGTTCTATTTTTCTGATGTTCATCACTCATCACTCGTTTCAGACCGAGCCCACCACCTAGAGTAAAGCCTCCTCGTAGGGCTTTGCCAGGCGACTATTGGCTTGACACGGAGGGGATCGGAGAGAATCGCCAATGCGTTTGATCTGCGAAGGACTATTTACTTCACCTTCTTTTGCCAATCATACTCTGCATTTGGCCTCGAGAGGAGGCAGAAATCTGCTCGATTCTTCTTCGTTTCTAGCACCTTGCTGAGAAGTCTATGCTGGCTTCCTGTGTTTCTAGCTTTTAGAGGCAACCAACTCTGTACCACCTCAGGGATGCATATTCACCACTTTTTTGGTGGATCGCCGCATGATATGTATATTGATCGCTATAACAAGCAGCTCTGGAATTGGGAGACACATGCTACCGACAATGGGAACATCGAGAGGGTTTTTGCAGCGGAGGTGCTCCTGCAGCGGAGGTGATCGGTTCGGGCTGGTATGCCATTTGCAATACTGACTCAGCAGCTGGACTACTCCAATGCACGTCAATCCAGAACTCGTCTTCGCCAACTGGGATAAAGTATCGCTGTGGCTTGAATTACGATAGTTGTTCTGAACATATGGTTTTCGATGCGACAACCTTTCACTCTTTGGACAATCCAGTGCCGCAGATGCTACAGGTGTCTTGCAACTTTGGAGACTTTGACGCGCTGCTTTATAGTGACTCGGTAAGTACGATTACATTTGGAAACGCATGCAATGTTCGGGCAATCTGGTGCCGAAGTCCACATGTTGCCCGGAGCCACATCGATATGATATTTTTCGCATACTTGCTGCTTCCACCTTGTGCCTTATTTGGCTTGCTACTGGTCAGCAGTTTGAGAGCTGCACGCTCCCGTGAATGCCTCCATACAGATACTCAAGAATGCAGAGAACTCCGCAAGGCAATTCGTCGAAGGGCCAAACAGCTTGAACAGGACATGCAACACCGCAATGCAAAATTGACTGGGCGTGCTCGATCTTATTCTGGCCTTTTAATGTTTTGCGGCGACGTGGCATCTGACGTGCTTTGCCTGATCCTTTCCATTGTCACGGAGCAGTACGACTTCGCTGTGTGCCAGGGAATGATCATCTTCCTGACAGCCGCTTCTGAACTTTGGAAAGAAGGTGCCCGGGATTTTTGTTAAGGCCTTCCGGGACTTCAGCCGAAGTGGCACACCGACAGACAAGTATTTGTCCATCTTGCAGGCAGAACAAGGTCTCGAGGCTCCATTGTCTTTCCTGTTACAGTACTACAGTGCTTTCTACACGGCTGATGAAGGAGCGTTCTTGACGCTTTGTTTTTCAATATGCATGAGCCTCTATGCAATCTCCAAAGGAGTCTACGAGAACTTACATTTGAACATCGAGGTGGCCTTCGATGAAGCAGAGGAGCTTGCCGATTCAGAGGGGTCTTCACATTCACGAACACCTGTCGCCCACCCTCCGATGCTCGGATTCGCCATTGATGCCACGGAAGCAGCGACAGCAGGAGCTGCAGCTCCGCCCTCCGCACTGCCTCCCCCACCGGGCCTCAACCCCACCAGGGTTGCTGCAGCAGAGCCCTCGACATTGCCGCCGCCAGGGCTGTCCAAGGGCATGGTCGCGGCAATCGCTCAACCGGCGCAGCCAGTGGGGCCAGTGCGGCTGGGAGCTTTTGCCAAGGACACCGAGTGAGAAGGGCATCATGGCTTGAGTTGTTCTTTTTTAATGTAGAACGACGATCACAATTCCATGGCAGTGGGTCAATAAGGCTTCAGATTTCTTAGTAGACTGCTATGATTGCACATTGGTTTTGATTGTGCACATGGGGTGTATGGACCCACTGCCAAGAATGTTTCACCAAATGTAAAAAATCAGTCGAGCTACCTGAGGCAGAGAACTTTACATGAGTTCTTGACTCATTGAACGCTTTGACCGTTTAAAGCAGATACTTGCGCAACTTGGTCAGACTCGGATGAGTCTGACCAAGCGGATCGAACGGTTTGGGGCCAAGCTGGGAGAGGGCCCCGTAAGTCGAAGCGGGACGCTGATCTCATGTCTCATGTCTCACCTCTTAGACTCTTAGACTCTCTAAGTCTTGGACTCGTCAAACTGTCAGACTGCCTGGCTCCAGACATGGACTGAACTTTTCTCCATTCTCAGAAATGGTGTGTCTGTGTTTGTGTTGTTAACGGGGGGTGGCCGATCGTCTTGTATTGCACAAGGAAGTGAACAAGTTGAGGCAAGAGACTACAGAGCACTTGGACAGATCATGTAAGATTCATACGAAGACATGCCTGACTGTTCATTGTTTTGGATTCATTGCATAGATGTAGTGTTTGCGAAGTTAGATGGGTGAGGTTCTCGCCATCAATGGCTCTTGCCACTCCTTCTGGCATTGCGCAGGTGCTCTACAACAGCCTTTTGGCCGGGCTGGCCCAGCAGTAGCGATGGGATTACATGTTCTGAGCAAGGATGTTGACCATCATCATGCACTTCTTATGCGTGTGTTTGTGCACAACCTTATTGCCCCACCAGATTCTACACAGGTGGAGAGCACTGGCATACAACTCCTCATCAAGGGCAGAGTACTGTCAAATGTGTTGTACATGGGGAGCATGTTTTGGCAAAACATATTCATGTTACACAATGACATCATGTGCACATATGTACACTAAACAGGTGTTCTAGTCACTTGATTACTTGCAATGTGCAACCGCGCTGCCTGTTTGAGCAGAATATCGTAAACTCCAAACGAGTCAATGACCAATTGCTATAGATTGCTACGCTGTACATTGTACAAGTGAAAGGACACTCATGAGTCACCATGCGACAAAGGGCTGCAATTTGGCTGTGGTTATTACCTGCCCCCTTTTGGTCGGATCGATAGACCTCGGATTTGGGGTCCATCCGAAGGGTGGCATCAATGTCTTCGCTATTGAAACAAATATCCTTATATATAGTGAGTAAAGTGCGTTTTTCTCGGTTCATGTCCATACCAATTGGGATGAGAAGTGCCATGTCTCATGTCTAGTATGGTATATGCCCATTCTGGAAACCAGATTCAGTATATAGAGGCTTGTAGTGTCAATGACAGATGTTGTGATCAGCAATGCCACATGGCAACAAGACATGATGCAGCGGTGTATCCCACAGGTCCAGAGGTCCTTCAACCCTTAATGGGTTGCAAACTTGTCAATGGTAGATCCGAGTCTTGCTGCGAGCAGGGGGATGAGTGCCGTGTCTAGCGCAGCTTCCCCAGGATGGCTGTGCCAAGCAATCACGGGTGGAGGAGGCCCGAAGCTGCAGTTGAAAATATTCATATCATGCAGATGAGTGTGAATACTTCCACTGAGACAACTTCTTCCTATGAGGTTTCTCTTGTTTTGTTGCAAGTGTTCTTTTTTCCAGTGGCTAGCTGTGAACTGAGCTGTGTAGGCCTTGAAGCTTTTAGAGGAGATGAAGGAGCAAGGCGTCCCTCAGTCGCAGTGAAGGAGCGCCGGGGTGTCGCAACGTCATCGCAAGAGGTTCTAACATGACTTGCGGAAACTCTCCACGCGCTACTCCTAACAGCGTTCCTCTTAACAGCATTTGAGCAAAACAAAAACTCCAGGACCTAGGAAGGACACACCCCGATGGTGTAGGGGGTGGTAAGCTGCGCTACAGTAATCTAGCTGCCATCTAATGTGCAGTCAATGTAGCGCGAATACAGCCACTTTTCTTTTGTTTGTCCTGTGAGTGCTCAGTTGCTGGTTTGTGAGGTAGGGAAGAGAAAATCTTTGGGACATATACGGACAGATCAAATTCACCACTCTGTCGTAATGTCTAGTTTGGTGATGTGTAGTGCCTTTAGGGCCCTTTGCTTGGTCTAGCATCTTGGCAAGATAAATCCCAGCAAAGCTATATATCAATGTTTTTTTTTGTTTTTTTCAGAAGCACCAGCAAGTACCATACCCAATGGCGGTTAAGATGTTGATCCAGGATGATGTGTTCATTTCTGTTGATTCATGTTTGATCATTCATTGAATGAACGAACCGAGGGCTCTGAAGCCCGCGCCTCGTACGTCCAAGGTGACGCCAAGCAATTATACCTTGAGCATCTTGTGCAAGCTCTTGGGTCGCGGAAGGCTCGAAGACGTTGAAGCCGGGCGCACGTTTGGTGGATCATTCAGGAATTCACTGAGATCTGCTGAGGGCTGAGGGGTGAGCGCATGCAACAACTGACAGATCACTGGACGTGAAGATGGATCTGGGTTGACCATGTTTGACTTCTTGAAGTGGCACCTCTTCTCATGTCCGAGATTGAGTCAGTGTGGCTGCTTTTCTGTGGGGGACTGACTCCATGTAGTTAAGGATTGTTTGGATCCTCAGGCTTGCATGCCAGCACGTGACTGGCTTATTTCGTACCATAAAGACCACTAGTACTACCACTAGTTACAGACAAAAACTGTTGCTTAAGTGGTTCGCAGCAACTTCTCCCTGAATCTTTGAAAACACGTAGACTGGCCGGTGCTCAAAGTTTGCCAAGAGCAGAAGACCACGCTGATATCCACGCACGGACTTTTATTCCTAACAGGTGTCAACCCAGAGAAGTTACTTTTGAGAAAGCAATGATTTTCTCATGTGTCACCTTGCTTTGCAGGTGTGTCTTCCTAAGAAACTCTACTCCCGGGCACAACTCCAGCCAGTCGAGCCGTAACTTCACTGAACCTAGCAGGCAAGAAAGTCCATTCTGTGACAACACTTCCAGCTGTGCAACACCATCTAGATGCATAAAATCACATAAAGTCACTGCTGTCCAAACATCATGCCAGGATAGACTCGCAGACAAACATCTTCATTACGAGGCACACGTATTGAAATCTATAGACTGGTTCCCGTACCTTCGAAGCGAATCCTGTGTGTTCTTCCACCTCATATCCCAGTTTCCAGTTCCCTTTGAGCTCATGTTCAGTTCCCTAGCCTTTCCTTTTTGGCCTCCTCGTTTTTGGGACCCATTTTCCACCTTCCAACCGAGCTTCTCCGGTCTTCTCCGGTCCCGTTTTTCAGCTCCTCTCCAGGCGCTTGGAGCAAGCCTTCAAGATGGTCTCATGGCAGAACCGTCTCCACCGGTGGGTTGCGATCCGAAGTCGGTGGCTTTTCCGGGCGGTGGAGATCCACTACTCCGTTAAGCAGTTTCGGGGCGGTTTTTAACCGGGTGAGCCGAAGGGCGAAGCGAAGCGGACGGGTGAGCCAGGGCTGCTGGTGATTCCGAGGCACACAGATCGTTGGAAGATGGGTGGTTGGATTTTACAGGGAGCGGCTGGGGCGGGGACCAAATCCAACTTCTACCACTGCGGGTGGGGGGTTTCTTGCAGGTGCAGTGAAGCAAATTGAACAAAATCACGGATTGTAATTGTAAGACCGTAGACCAAACGTTACAGCATTTGGACACTCACCACACTGGAAATGATCCAGGGATGACAGCCATGTTTCCTGCGCAGCGTCCCAACAACTTGATGTTATACATGTGTTTAACTGTTGAACTAAACTAATTGTTGGATGATGAACTAAGCTGGACAGCTTTGTTCAGCCATTGATTTTGTGAATCATTTGGCTGATTGAGGTTGCCACCTTCACCGAGCAGTATGGCTTCAAAGCTAACATCCAGGCACCTCAGTGCCGCTGTTCCTTCTTGGTGCTGTGGGTTTTCCGTGTGTGACCTAGATCCTGAGATACTCACAAACAAGAGCATGCAAGAGCAATATATTCATGTTAGGCGAGTCCCACCAGAGATCTATCATGACGGTCCACCTTTGGGGAGCTCAAAGCTTCGGATGGCGCGCCTGCGATGGCTGCGATGGTGAATCTCGAGAGATGTGTTGGCTTAACAGCAGAAAGAGAGGGCAAGTTGTGAAGGGACAGTACTGACAGTGGCAACAAGTTGCTGATGGAAAATAGTCAAACACGCACCGATAGTCAAGACAAGACGCGCTCCTTTTTCTGAATAGAAAGTGCCTCAACGAAGAAGACATGGTCAATTTCTCATTTGCTGTGGAACCCAGAAGGTCCAATGTGGTTCCAACGTGGTGTCTGGGTTGCGTTTGGGGTTCTGAAAAAAGGACGTGATGTTGCACAAGTTATTACTTTGTTTCGGAACATTTAGCACCAAACTTGGAACATGTTTCCTCGAAACCTGACAGTCAGGACGATCTCATCATGACGGGTCCAGGACATACGTGTGATCCTTGAGGGACCAAAGCAAAAGGATGAAAATTCCCAAGTCCCCATGAAAATCTCGGGGATTTCCTGGCGATTCCTGATTTTCAAGGTCGATGGGTCCCGCCGCGCGCCTCAACAGTAAGGGGCCCTCAGCTCCCAGTCTTCAAGCAGTTGGAGTTTTGAAGGGCCCGTATGCTGAGCGGCGACCAGGTCTACACTTGCTTGATGCAAGCCTGTATCCACAACCGCCAGTGCTCCAGGGTCTTGGCTTTGCACGACCAGGCACGACCAGGGCAATATCAGGAAACTGCTAAGTCGCAGTTTTGTTTGTTTTGCCAAGTCCAGTAGACGACGTGCGCTCCAGTGGTTGTATTTTTTGGCAACCGTAGTTAGCAGAAGTGTTTGCCTTGCAGACGCCAGACAATGCCAGTGTTTAAGTCATTATGGCTGATCCAGAATGCATGGCAGTGTGAAGAAGTACTAAATTCTCAAATAGTACGACCCATACATGTCCCATGGTCAGCGTTTGTCTAGGTTTTCCTGCTAACTGGTGGGGTTTCTAATGATCTATGTGAGCGCTAGCGCTAAGCCGCTAGGTGGTCAAGGATGGCACCTGCAAGCCTGATGCCAAGACGTACACGGTCGCTTAGCAGACAGAGGGGACCAACAGAGGGTTTTTCACGTTTTGGGGCGCCACCCAATTCGCACCCGGCACATGCAGGAAACAAGAGACACACAAGCAGCAGGAGGTGGATGTGGCTGGAAGAGTTGAGACCCCTGACAGCTGCAGGGTTTAGTCAACACAGCTTTTAACCGTGAACACACCGAAGGAACGTGAGACCGCCTGCGCCTTTCCTCTGCATGAGTCCCAATGGAGCTGCGTATACGAACCGATTCGAGCATTACCTGTTGAAAGATGATGACTGGAATGTTCCCACACACAGCGGGCATGTTTCCGTTCGAGCCAGTTGATCCTCGAGGGCCAGGTCAGTCCCTTTTCAGCGACCCACACGAAACCGGAGGAAGAACACGAGCGTTCGCTGGTGTCAAGAGTTTTGAGTAGCTGGTGTAACTCCAAAGATGATGATGGAGACTCTTGAAAAGGAGGGGTAATCGAAAGATCCTAAATGAGCTTACGATGGAGACGGTTTCATTTGGTTGTGTCAGATTATGTCGGATTCAATTCCGCAGGTCCCATGTTGTTTTAAGTCATTGTCATTGTTTACACTGACCATGTGGGCCAACTCAAGTTTTCAATTAGTTGTGTTTGGACAACTACACTGCGTTTGCCACAATAGATGTGGCTTGAACACAGGTTTTCTTCATGCTCAGCTATAACTTTCCGAGCTTTGTTGGAGAGCAGGAGACATACTAAAACACTTACTAAAACAATCACTGCGAATGCAATGGCTTTTATTCCTCCACAATTTTCATTTGAGGCTTTCTCAATCTAGGAAGTACTGTATGAAGCAATCTTTACATGTTCCAACATGTTCCAATTCAAACTCGACAATGCCTGATGGATGTCAAATCTTTCTCCACTCCAATCGACTGGTGGTCTCAGATTTCCGCCCCACGCCCCGTCGGACGGCACAACGCATCAGGTCATGCTACGGGGCTGTTTGCAGGCCGGACTGCTGGAGAAGGCAGTCTCTGTGGTCCGTTGCGCTTATCACCTGCTCCTTGGCCATGACCGGCCACAGAGGTGTGATGGTCGAGGTGTTTGTCGTGTTGGAGTTCTGCAGGAGGTGCTTGATGGATGAAGATGGAAAGGAAGAAGCTCTATAAATCTTTAGGGGCGGCCCGCCCTTCCCGGGAAAAGTGGAGAACCTGCAGGTCACCTTTTTGGGGGATTGGGACACCTATTCGTGTTTAGTGGGGTTAAAGGGTCACTGAACTCCTCTTAAACCCCGAAGTTCAAAGGGAATTATTTAAAAAAACATGGAGCGCAGGCAAAACGACCTTTCAACCAACTTGCTTTTCTTTCGTTTTGTGGATGATGTAGATCCTTGGACCTACCCAACCCCTCAAGACAGCATCAAGACACCTGGAGCCCTCCTTAGTCCTTGCATTTTTCAACCTGAGTGGTCCGCTCCGAGTGCTTTTCTTCGCCCTGAACCGCTGTCTGGGCTGTTGAGTGCTTCGCGCCTCCCAGGCCTGGCCATGACCTCTGCCAGACCACTGGACCTGCTCCAGGGGTCCGCGCCACGGGGCGCCTTCGTTCGACGTGGGAGGGAATGGTTTCGTGCCCACCAGCTCGGACCAGGTCACCCGGGAAGGTCACGGGTACAGGAGTTGTGGCTCGCAAATGGTAAGACCCTGGTGAAAGCCCTAAATGTATCTAAATGTACTGTATATGGTGTTTTAATCAAAATTCTCTTGTACACTGATAGCTTTGGATGGTTCCTTAGTTTTGTGTCCAAAGGCCAATATAGGGCCATAGCCACATAAATAGAACCAGCCCGGATGAAGTACATGATCTCAAATCCTACTTGGATCGTACTTTCAGTGTGCTATTTTGTCAGGCAGAGTGTTTGTGTGGAAATTACAGATGCAGCCAGTGGACTTGGTGGTTCTTCGTCCGCCACAGATGAACCATTCTGCTGGAGCCATCAAGCTCTTTGTCTAATGGAACAGATGGAACAGACGGCTTGCTGCCCCACTCCTCAAGTTAAACGAAATCGCAGCGAATCTCCCCATGTTCCATAATGTTACCCATGTTCCCTTATGTTCCGTGGCTTCCCCCCCATGTTCTCCTCAGATCACCCAGCTCCGGCAGCCACCCTTTCCCCACCCAACCGCCGCGCCGCGCGTGCCGAAAAAGCGCGAGCACCGTGCAGGTGGAACCCGCCTGCTTGGAGGATCTGTTCAGCGCATTGAGCTTCGAGCAGAGGGAGGCGCTGACGAAGGACCCACCGGCATCGCGACGCCGTGGACGACAGGCTCGTGGGGCGGTCGGCAGGAGGCCATTGAGGCCATTTGTTCTGCAGGGAGAAGGCATTGTTGGCAGAGAGGATCGTTGTTTTTTGTCTGCAAAGATCCGCTCGTCGTGCAGTTGTGGTTGTACAAGGGCTTTGGCTCTACACCGCTTGTGTGGTTTCCTTAGCACGCACCCAGTTCAAACCATGTTGATAACTCACTCTCATTTGCCACACAGACGGAGTGCTCCCACACAGATCTCGACCCTTTGTAGGACTTGCAGACGATCGGCGTATCCTGCAGACAGCAGGCTGGCTGGGCACTGGTTCCAGCTATGGGTTTGGTACCCTCCTTCAGAGCAACAGGAACGGAAGACAACCTGGTGTGAAAGGGTAAAGGTGAATTGTTGTCCAGGACTGCGTTCCATGCTCATCTTCGCAGGAAGCAATGAATGAGATGGAATGGTTCCAGACAAACTATCGGCGGAGGGACCTTGCACTGGCTGACTGAGGTTTCACCAAAAATTTATAGCTGGGATGGTGTTGTGGATGACTTGACCAAAGGCCACAAGCACCTCTTGCCCCCCAAAGAGAGACCAGCATAGACCAGCAACAGTAGATGTGTGTTTGGCATAATGTTCCTTTGCGTACCAGCAAGAAAACATCATAGGCTCATCATTCATCATCCCTCTTTGCTTTTTTTGCCTCCAAATTGGCCTTCGGTTGCCAGCGCAGGCCACCCATGCTGGCACCCACCGCCGACGCCGCTGAACAGCGCTGTTCCTGTGCGGTAGGAAGGGATGTCCTGACACTTGCCTGCTGTCTTTCGTGGGTGAAAACTGCGGAACGTGTGGCGCGCTGGACTTCGCAGATCGGCGGAGTTTTCGGAGGAGTTAAGACGCTGGAGTTGACAGGTGTTGCAGGGGAATGTGCAGAGCACAGTTGTCGTACCAATCCAGGCCACATCTTCTTCCTCATTGATATATGTGGGCATTTGCTCACCAAACATTGTTTGGTTGGTGCGGCTGAACTGTTTACCTTGAGGGACAGAGACACTGAGAGATGAACGGCCTCTAGAATTATGACAAACTGTGGGTTTGCACAATGGGTAGACCCCTGCAAACGCACGGGGAAGTATACTCCTTGAAACACTCATGCAAGTGAACAAATGGCCCGTTGGATGGCCATTTTGCTTTACAACCCAGGTGGCCGTCCACTTCCATGATTTTTTCAGGGAGTGTATCAATCTGAGACAAGCAATTGGTCCATCTCTGGAGAGCATCTAGCTGCTAGCTGAACTGGTTTGAGAGCTGTTTGCACCACAATCAAAACCCCAAACTCTCAAGACATGAAAAGAATACTCTCCATACTCTCCCTTGAACTAACTTTATGGAAGTGGAAAACCCCTTCTTGTAGAGGAACATGGTCTTCCAAGGGGCCATGCCATCGACTTCCATGTTAGTTCCGGGGAGTGTGCATTTGCTGAATTTCTTACTTCAAGGGTTGTTGTGCTATGCTGCTATACCAGAGGCTCAAAGGGTCAAAGTATGTCAAAACACACCTGGACCACAGGATCCAGAACGACTAAGGTGCTCCGCAATCTGTGCCCACCATGATCAACGGACAGGCGAGTGGGCTCGTTGAAGGAAACATCGGCCGTGTTTTTGTGCATTCGTAGCTTACTGAAGGTACGGAAGGTAATTCTGCTTTGCTCCAACAGTGCAGGAAAATAAATGATGTGGTTACCTTTGGTTAGAGTCGTACCTCAAATGCTCAAAGCTCAAACCAGGGTTTTCCTTCTCCTTTGTCCTCCAACTCCCCCGATGACATCGACAAACAAATGTTATTACTTCTGAGACTCGCTCCACCGCAAACTCCACCCATGCCGGAAGCCTTTTGCTTCCTGGCGTCCCTTGGCACGACCAGAAGTGGGTTCCACCAAAGCTGCGAAACACGGCGTGGAGAGTTCTGCTACATGTGCCAAAAGCACTTTTCAGTCAAATCACTTGGGCTCAAGTTTGAAGCCAATCATATTGTGAAGGCAGCACATTCTCAGGGATGATGTTCTTTTGTTGTACTCACTGGGCATTGTTGTACTCCTGCGGCCAAGCTAAATGCAGATCAGATGGATCTGGACGATTTTGAGGAGAGACCGAGAGACCCTTCAAAATGAGTCCCATGCGGCCTTTTACCATCCCACTATGATGGTTGTTAAAGAGAGAGAGAGAGAGAGAGAGTGTGTGTGTCTATAGCAGTATAGCACCAATTTAGCAATTGATGAACCGTTGAGGTCTTTTCCGTCCGAACTCGTGACCTGCGTCGCAGGCCGCATCAAGCCAGCCATTGCAGGTTCCGGCCGAGGAGGCCACTCGAACCGGAACTGGCCGAGTCCCAGCGGGAACGGACCAGATGTCCAGAAGACCAGGCTCGGCATTTGACCAGGCTGGTCCAGAAATCTCTCGATTCCAGGCTCGGAGTCGCACCCAGTGAGTGACTATAGACTATAAGGAACATGTTTATCTGAAGCACCATCTGGATGTGTAGCGAACAAATAGACCAAGTCTCCCTATCAAAGTACTCATACGACGTGAAAGTGATCCGCTGGGACGGGACGTTGGGCTTCGACTTACTTGGGTCAACCAAACATGAGCATGTGAGACACTTGGGTCATGTGAGAAGCCGAGCGTGAGGGACACAACACAGACCTCTCTGGGATGGGTGAGATCGTCATGGCAGATTTGGTCACCCCAAGCAGGCCTACAAGAGACTTAGCAGCTTCGATCGCATTTTTTGAGGTGGAGTCTATAGAGTCTAGAGGGCTGCCCATGCGAAGAAATCAACCTTTGTAGCTCAAGAATTGAGCAGCAAAAGAAGTGTCTCTTAAGCTTTAAGCCACACATATATTGGATGACAACAATATGTTTGCACCACGTTTGTACAGCGGCATATACATCTCTAGGCTCCCAAATGAACACCAAAGATGTCGTCCAGCCGGAGTCTTTTTGGAAGCTCAACGTGCCGCCAAACCTTCACAATCCCTATGCGCATATGTAAGGGGTGGTTAATAAGCACCCCGTAACCTCTTTTTGGGGCTATTAATAAACAATCAAAATCGGGGGCTCTGGTAGGTTTCCAAATCTCACGATGTTCCAGAGCCGTATTCCCACTTAATGCTTCTCCAAATCTCAAGCTCTCCACCAGGAGCGAGAGAATGGGGCATCGCTCTTGACCTTCGGCAAGCACCGAGGGTACCCTGCGCCGTCTCCCTGCCCCCCTGCGATGGTGACACGGGCGGATCGACCTTGAACCAAATGAAGATGTGGGATCATCGACATGTTCACCCGAGTGCTTTTGGAGTGTCAGAGTGCTAAGCAGGATGAACAAGGCTGCTAGGCCGACCGTGAGCATTTTAGAGTTCTGCGAAAGCTGCAACCATGCAGATCATACGTATACTGAGGTTGGCATAGTCAATTGATCAATACAATACTAAACCCTTGCCACCTGACAAGTTAAATATCCTGCATCTTCCAAGGGTGTCCTTTTTCAGTCCCCATCACAAAAGTAGACTTTTCACCAGAGGGGCTTTTTCTGTTATACCAGTGGATCGAGATGGATTTGATCTGTTTTGTCAGATACAAGGGGCTTATTGATCTCGGCACCAACCCACCACTGCAACAAGGTCAGTCTATGCGGGGTGTTGGCGTGATCAAAATCTTTCAACCCCATGAAGTTTCTGTACCACTTGTTTAGCAGTTTTGACAGACTTTTGATGATTCTTTGGGGTGTCAATGGTGTCACTGAAAAGGCTTTCAATCGATCTGGAGAAGTTTGCTGGGATTCCTTTGAGAATAGAACATAATAGAGTCAGAGCGACATTTTGAGTTTGATTGTAGTTTCATCTATCATGCATGATCTGTCTTGACAAACAGCTATCGTGCGGGAAACATCTAATTATCATGCACGATAAGCCATACTTATCACCAAAGCCAACAAATCTAATGGGCGGAATTTGGCGGTCGATGGGCGGAATTCGGCGGCCCAGGGGCGGAATTTGCTGGACACCAGTTTTGAGTGTTGAAATATGATGCAACTGACAAAACAATTAATAAAACAGTGTCAGCATGACATGATAGGCTCAAATGAAACACCCACTCTGAGGCGCGATGAAACTATTGCAACAAGTGCCACAGTTCTTTAACATGGAGTTCATGAAACATTCAACTATATAAATAACACTGCCGATCTCGGCTTTGGGTGTCAAAACTCCAAACAATGCATTGGAATTGCCTCGGATTAACATTTCAGACCTGCTAAAGAACAGCAAGAAGGCGGGCAAAGCACACATATTTGGAATCACATCCCCAAGATGCACATAAGACATTTTTCTCCCTTGAAGGGGCATGAGCACCTAAACCCGTACAAACCCACAGATTCTAATTGTTGCCAGGGTCGTTTTTTCTTGGGAGGGGCTGGAATTTTTGACTCTAGGCTAAGGGGCCAGAATTTGGTACTACCAGAAGTTCCAGCTACCTTCAATGTCAATGTGTGGAAACAAATGCCCTGGGTCGCCAGCGGCTAGCGCATCCTGCTCGCATCCGGTCGTTGGCTCGTTCGCCTGTTTGCATCCTGCGGCTCAAGCCCGATGTTTGGAGAAGAAAAACATCCGCGTAGGAAGAGACATCAACTGTTTATGTAATGGGATGATTGGATGTTTGATGTTTGGTCCAAGCCAATGCCTTTCAGAAACCAAGAGCTGCCTGATGAGGTTTGTGGCTTAAATCTTCATATATTGGGGCTAGGGTTGTTGCGGCAAACAATGTCCTCGAGCATTTCACCTGACCTTTGCATTTAATGATTGTGTCAAATTGTTTGGACCAGTACCAGAGGACGTGGAACCAGCTGTGACTACCCTGCAAGTTTCACCCAGCATGTTGACGCGCTCGCACTTGCGCACTTCACAGCAAAGTTAGCCAGATGTGGTTTCTGTGCTGTTGTCCCACGCCAGGCTGACCCAAACAATCTCAAAGATGAACAACTTGCACTTCCCTCTTTCCCTGTTGATCGTTCCCAGTACCGAAATCGCACCGAGTACCTCTCCGCACCCTCCGCCGACATTGGCCTCCGCCTCCGAACATGGAGTCGACTCCAGCATTTTTGTCGGCGCTGTTTCCCGAGACCGAAACCTGGTCCAGCCTGAAGAGATGTTCTTTGAAGGTGCCTTTGAACGACTCGATTTCAGCGAACGAGCGGTTTCAGTCTGGGTGTATCAGGGTCACAACAGATGTGGCAGTGGGCCAGAAGCTAGAGCCCTAAACCCTCCTGGGCTGACCTCCTCAGCAGTTGATTCTGTTCATTTTCAGTGGTCAACCAGGGGCCCCCAGTTTTGACCCATTGCCATGTCACTTTAACAGGTGATTTATGCATCCTTATGCCTTTATGCGTTTCACATTGGAAGGAAGAGCACTCTTCTTTCGTCCTGCAGTGCGAAGATTCTCTTCACATTGCTTGCGTACTACACAAAGTCAAGACCCAAATGAGGAATTTGCCTGCATGGTTCTATAATATTATATAAGCTATGTGTTTCTTCGTCGTACAAATACACAGGTTCGGTTTTTGCAGTAGATTGGCTCAGATCCCAAAGGAAAACAGGTCGTTGCTGGGAAGCCGAGTCTCCTACTCAACTCTTCTTGAAAAACACAAAAATAGATATCGTAGCTTTTTGCCATTGGAAAGCCCAAAGGATCAGCAAAGAAATATTGACATCAGTCAATGTCGTTTTTTGCGAACAAAATGATCACCACGGTCATCGACATGTTCGATCTGGATCGAGCTCGTTGCATTTGTTCGACAATGTTCGACATTTTTCGACTGCTGTTTTCCGGGTTTACCGGGTGCAACTGCACATCATTCTGAATGATTCTTCGGCGCATCGAGGTGGATGAGGGAACAGCTGGCCTAGACTTGGAAATCACCGAATTCGGCTACCAGGCGCGGACAACAGCGTGCTCGT